GAGCAAGAAGAAGAGTTTGTCTTCGGCTCCTCTGCAGCAAACAAAAAAAAAGAAAGACAAAGACACACATGAAGCAGCAGCAAGGAGACAGCAGCAGCAGCAGCAGCAGCAGCAACAGCAGCAAGGAGACAACAGCAGCAGCAGCAGCAGCAGCAGCAGCAGTAGCAGCGCGGGGAAAAGAGCAGCAAAGACGACAAAATACATGAAAAGGAAACAAAGACAATCAAATTAAATAAAAAAGAAACAAAGACAACAAAATAAAATAAAAAGAAACAAAGACAACAAAATAAAATAAAAAAAACAAAGACAAAGACAAACCCTCAGCTAGTTGGGTTCCGCTTGTTCTCTGTCCCGCCACCATTGCATTGCCATCGATGAGACCTGCATATACACCCCACAACACTGCTGCTGCTGCTGCTGCTGCTGCTGCTGCTGATGCTTTTGCTGGTGATATTGCTGCTGCCGTTTCTGCTGCTTTTGCTGCTGCTGCTGCTGCTGCTGTTGCTGCTGTTGCTGCTGTTGCTGCTTATCGTGTTGGTGTTAAGCTTCCTCTACAGCTACTCTTCCTGCTGCTGCTGCTGATGGCCTTGCATTAGCTGCAGTAGTGGCAGCAGCAGCAGCAGCAGCAGCAGCAGTAGTAGCTGCAGCAGCAGGACGAGCATCAGCAGGAGCAGCGGCAGCCGGGGCACCAACAGCAGCAAAAAAAAGAGGTGAAAGCAGCAGCAGCAGCAACAGCAAGACAGGTAGCAGCAACAGCAAGACAAGCAGCAGCAGCAGCAGCAGCAGCAAGACAAGCAGCAGCAGCAGCAGCAGCAGCAGCAGCAGCACCATCTTGGATTTTGCTGAGTATGAGCCTGGCCACGCGAACGAAGACATCCGTCACCCCCTCCCCTGTCAGCGCACTCGTCTCCAGAAACAACACATCTGCAGCAGCAGCAGCAGCAGCAGCAGCAACAGCAGCAGCAGCAGCAGCAGCAGCAGGAGCAGCAGTAGCAGCAGCAGTAACAGCAGTAGCAGCAGCAGCAAAAGTGGTAGCAGCAACAGCAGCAAAAGCAGCAACAGCAAACAACAGCAGGAAAAGCAACAGAAGCAAATGCAATATCAGTAATAATAGGAGCAGCAGCAGCAGCAGCAACAGCAGCAGCAACAGCAGTAGCAGCAGCAGCAACAGCAGTAGCAGCAGCAGCAACAGCAAGGGATTTGGCTGCATTTGTTTCTTAGGGTAGAGCTATATTAAACAAAGGAAGAAAAGAGAAACAAAAAAAAACAAACAAAAAGACAAATAAATAAACAAACAAACACAGAAATAAATAAAAAGAAAGAAGAAACAAACAAAAACAAAACCCTAACCCTAAACCCTAAACCCTAAATAAAACAAACAAAAGAACATACACCAAGTTGAAAAAAGAAAAAACAAAGCAAAACACACAAACCCTAAACCCTAAACCCTAAACCCTAAACCCTCACCGTTCTCCTGGGCAAAGCGCGAGGCCTCTAAGAAGGTAACCGCCCGCTTCTCCCTCACATCCATCTTGTTGCCTGCAGCAGCAGCAGCAACAGCAGCAGCAGCAGCAGCAGCAGCAGCAGCAGCAGCAGCAACCCTAAACCCTAGAAGCAAGAAAAAAGGAAGAAAAGAATGAAAGAGAAGGAAAAGAAGGAAAAGAAAAAGAAAAAAAACAGAGAAAAGACAGACAAACAAAAATTAAAAAAAGAAAAAATATAAAAAAAACAAAAAAAAAATAAAATAGTGAAATAAAAGAAAGCAACAAAAAAAATAAAAAAATAATAAAAGTAACAAAAGAAGAAGAAAATAATAAAAAGAAGAGAGACAAGAATAAACAAGAAGAAACGAATAAAAAAGAATAAAACACCAATAAAATAAAAATAATAACGAAGAAGACAACAAAAAATAAAATAAATAAAAAAATAAAATAAAATAAATAAAAAATAAATAAAAATAAAAAATAAAAAACTAACCAACAATAGCAATGGAGATATCTGCTCGAGCTAAAGAGCGAGCGTCCGCCAGCCAATTCATCAAATGGTTGTAAGACTCACGGCTGCAGCAGCAGCAGCAGCAGCAGCAACAGCAGCAGCAGCA